ATAAACGCTCCCGCCTCACTTATTTGAGAATAAAATGAGTTGCAAAACCGTGAAATTTGAAAAACGAATTTTTACAAACCACGTTTTAGCTATTGAACGAGAGTGAAGCAAACGTTTTACACCTGACCGAACAAGCTGCAATTTTAAAGTCGGAAATTCGAAGGTTGGAGAGGAACCAAGAGAGGGAGACTTCCGTTTCTAACATGGAGTACCTCAAGAATATCATCTATAAGGTTTGTGCCTTGCTATCGGTTGGTTTGTATGGCATATTTGTGTTGGTATGTGTGTTGGTTTGTTTGTCTGGTTGTCTGTATGTTTGTTTGTCTGTCTGTCGGTTTTTATCATCCTCATCATCCTTTTCCTCCTCCGCACAGTTCCTGACGTTGAAGAGTGGCGACGAGAAGATCCAGCTGGTTCCTGTCATCCACACCATGTTAAAGTTTTCCCCAGAAGAGAAACAGACGATCAGCCGGCTCGCCAGTGGAATCGAACCCGGTACATCGACCTCCAACGTTGAAGGTGGATCCACGTGGAGTGCCTACCTGCCCAAGTGGCCGGGGATCGTTTGATTCCCCTGCCTGGTATTGTTACCCCAATTGAAAAAAGTTAATCATCTGTATGTATGCTTTGTGTGTACACTACACACACACACTAACACATACGTTCGTACTTTCATTTATTTATTTATTTCACTAATTTTTTGGGAAAAATTATTTATCAACATTTATAGAAAGATATGTTGTAGATATGAATATTCGGTTTATTTATTCCATCCATTAGTATATATAAATGCGTGTCTGTGTGTGTGCGTATGTCTGTTTGTGTGTGCGCTTGCGTGCTTTTCGACTAAATGTCCATATTTGGTGACTTTCCAGGTTTTTCCAGTACTAACATATTTTTTTTCATTATAGATTGCAATTAATTGATTGTTAATTAAATTAATTTGATTTTTTTAATTCAATTGTTCAATTTAATAGTTAGTCAAATCAATTAATTAATTAATTTATTTGTTAATTTAATTATTTAGTTAAATTATTTAATAATTCAATTTTCAATTAATGATTGTAAAATTAAACTATGCATTTTCACTTTGGCTTAAGTAGGGTGTTGTATGAATGTGTGCATCATTGCACGGGTTGCTTTTACATTTTCATTCATTCATTTTTTTATTCAATTAGTTAATTACTTATTTGTAGCAAAGATTTTGTTTTGATTTAGAAATATTGAGGCCATTTTTTGTGATATCGTCGTCGTCGTCGTCATCATTGTCATCTGCCACCACTATCATACATTTTGTCATCACTTTCATAGGTTTCATCATCATCTTATCGTCATTATCATTTTAATCAATTTTGATTACTATGTTTAAGTAACTTATAGACAGAATGAATTCATATCAGTACGGTGATACGATGAGATAGATAGCTTAACGAGTAAGGCGCCTGCCAGCTAGCTCTTGCTTCTTGTGCAGTAACTGGGATCGAATGCGAAAGGATCCCTCTTTGCTTATGATGTGCGTGGAGATTCACCCTTTTCCACATGCGCTGTGTGTGTATGTGTGCGTGTGTGTGTGTTGACACGTCTGAGAAAAAAGTAATATTTATTTTATATTTAATGGATTTAAATGATGTTATAATTGTTAATTATCTTGCAGAATGTATAATTTTTTCCTTATAATTAAATAATTAAAATTTAATTATAGCTGTATTTATTTGTATATACGTACACTAGTTGGACTTTCATATGCAGGTTTTTTTTATGTAGATGTGTTTATTACTTTTTTCTCTATCTTTAAAATTGCAGCTACATTCCCAAGTGAGAATTTGTATGTGTGTATGCTTGTTTGTTTGTGTGTGTGTGAGTGAGAATTTGTTTGTGTGTGTGTGCGTGTGTACAGGCACATAACGTGATGGATAATTTGTAATTACCATTGCCCTGTGTTCATTCATTAAATTGTTATATACATATATTATTATATCATTATTACTTAACCTGCATTTCATGTCTTGTACGTACGAGTTCTTCAATTCAATAATCATTAAAAATTAATTATGTTAAATTAATTATTAAAAAATAAATTGAATGATTAATTGTAATTAAAATTGACAAAATACGGTTGCCAAAAAACGGGGTTTGTTTCTGTAAAAAACACGACGTTGATATGAAAGGATTTCTATTAATTTAATTTGAAATAAAAATATTTAAATAAATTTAATTAGAGATAAGCGAGCACTTATTAATTTACAATATTTTCCAATGTCATACAAAATCAACATAGTTAAATACAAATAACACATGATTCGTGTTGACATAGGCATATGTAAGTAAGTGTTTAAGTAAGACATATGTAAGCTGACAGACGCATACACACACACACACACACACACACACACACACACACACACACACACACAGAGAATGTACACATCAAAGCATACACATATATGAAACCAAACAAATCTTAAACAGTTTTATCAGAGGAAAAACTGATAAAATTTGTCAGTCACAAATAACACATAACACAAATATATACAGTTTATTTAAAGTATGCATATATACATGCGAGCACACACAGATACATAAAAATACACACACACATACGCACGTATATATACAAAGTATATACAATACATTATACATGTCCTGTCCGTTATATCACATGATGAAATTATTACGTATCGTGTATACACGTGTTGACCAATTCACTAAGAGATGGGTTTTCCATGGCTGCTGACACTCTTTCTTTATCATTCAGCTGCTTGTTGACTGGTCAGTTTGGGAATTTTTTCGTAAATTATGATAATTTTGATAACGACAATAATAATAATTATGGTAATAATAATTGTATTATTATTATTATTATTATTATTATTGATGATGGCATCAATGACGATGTTGGTGATGACTGACATGATGTTCAATAAATACAATGATGATGGCCATTTGTGATGATTGTAAAGTTCATTATCTTTATCACTAAGACAACGACGATGATATGATAAGTCAGTGTGAAATGCAGGTGATGATATGGCAAATTAGATAGAATTATATATAATATGGTAGAATTAGAATTATGAGAGAAATATGATAGAATTAGTGAATGAATTAGTGAAGAAAATATATATATATATATATTTTTATATATATATATATACATATATATACACATATATATACATAGATTATGTAGACTAAGTTAATGACACAAATTTGGCTTGAAACTTGAAGAATAAATAGTTTAAATATAGTAGAAATAATATATTTTCAATGTTTTACATTTTTGCCTAAACGTCTGAAAATAATATTTCCAATAAACTGGTCACAACTCCTTAAAATAAGTAAAATCAATACTTCTAACCAAGTGATTAGTGAATTTACCAATTGACTAGCTACCAAAATTAATGAATAATTCAATAAAATGTCAATCAATTAACCTAAAATTCAATCATAACAAATTAAATCAATCAGCCAACTTTCAAGCTCTGAGTCATGGCTTCCTTCTTTTATTTTGACACGAATCTGTACAGACATATACATATTTAATTAACTTACTAATTAATTAATTGAATTAATTAATTGATAAGTGGGTATTTTTCAATTTCAAAGATAATAAAATTAATTTATGAAACCGGATGAATTGTTTGAATAAATTTAGTTAATTCATTCACTAAATTTATTTTCAAGTTGAATTAAGTTTATTAGTTGGACAATAATTCTGACTTTGTACTTCTTAGGCAGGCATTCTTGTAGCTTTACTGTGAGGCACAAACCTACATGAATGAGTAAGAACATATTTTATGAATGAGTACTTTTAATAATTAAAACATGTTAAAATAAATAAATCAATTAATTAATCACCAATAACAGTAGCTAAATGGCAATGGGGAACTGTTGGTACAAAAAATACCTCGATGATAATACAAGTTGTATTGGAAATTGGTATTAGATGAATATTTTCCTCTTGTATGATATTCAATTCTTCCAGGGTTGCAGGCTTCTCTGGATCTCTGATTCCCTTGCAAAGATCTTGTGGTTGCATCAAAAAATATTTTATTTTAAATTTAAACAAAATCTATTAAAAAACTTCAGTATTATAAGGTTAGGAATTGAGCTTTAGTATAGAGAGTACTTGAACAGTTAAATACAATAAGAAATACTACTTTTGTATTACCACTAGAGTAAAATACAAAATAAAAATTATACAAAATAAAATTAAAATACATAATAAACAACAAATTAAAATTAAATATATAATATAAAAATAAAGAAACCATAGACAGCTTCAATGAGTTCTTTTCTTTCCAGTTCACTAACAGTTACATCCTCCTTCTTTCCAGCAGATACTGAACTATCACAAACATTATCACTATCATTGTGATCCATCGTTGGATTTCATCACACAAACACACGGCCTTGTAATTCAGTAATTGAGTAAATTATTTTGTTTATTGTTATTCATGTAACTAACAGTAACCTGTAAGGTAAGTAAGTGTAACACTAACTAAACTAAAAAAAAAGACTAAACAACCAAATGTAACTTTTGTTTAATTAATTTATCAACTAAATTACGACAACTCTCTGCATTTGTTTAAGTCTTTAAAAAACTCGCTTGCTTTATTTTATATTAGCTAATTACATTTAATCAGTTTGTTCTATTTTATCCGGCAGTTGATTAGGAAATTATTAGGACAAACCATATAATTAGAATAAACATAACGGCCTTCGCTCATTTTTGACGGTCGAACAAGGAGCTTACTTCCGGAGAAAAATTGGAGGATGATTTTTTATCGCCCAAGTCAAAAGTTACGATCGTATATTTACTAATTTCGGAATATTGCTTTCATTTAAAATTTCAAAATGTTTTAAAAGGTGATACTAGAGGCTGTTTTAGGATAGATATTGCTGTAAGACGGTTAAGTATCTTTTTGCATTTTAAATAAAAAAAATTTTTGTGAACCACCAACAACACTTAACTCATTAACTAACTGTAACAACACTAAACGACGACTAATTAGTAATTAAATTACTAAACTCTAATAATTAAGCTAAAACTAAACTCTACTAATTCTAATTACTAATTGAAATAAATAACAGATAACACTAACGAACAATAAATTAACAGATTAGCATTAGTAGAGAGACTACCAGAAACTACCAACCACTACACTACTACATACTACTACTACACTAACCACTAACAGCACTTGTTCCTAAGATCCTAAATTCTATTGCTTGATTGGTTTTAAAATTTTTATTTACAATGCTTAGGTCTGGGAATAAAAAATATACTAAATTAAATAAATATATTAAACAACTTATTAATCAATTTTATAAAATAAACAATTTTGTAATTTGTTCAATTCTAGCTTCAAACTCCTCAAGCTAACTTGCAATTTAATTAAAATTTATTAATTATGAGTGATTCAAACTAAATTTTTTTTTCATTTAATGTTTTATAAAATATTCCTCATTCTTAAATTGTAGTATATGTTGTTATTAAATTTATTAAAGATAATATGTGATTCCAGTGATTCATCAATCCATGACTTGTTAGATCATGATCATTCAGTTTTAAAGAATCCCCATCACCATAACCAATGAGGCTTGTGAAAATTGTACTTTTAATTTATTATATTTTATGCACTTAGAATGTTGTGTTATTAATTATTATCATTAATTTATTGAATACTGTGCATACCTATGGCAAGTAAATAAAATAATTAAGCATAGAAATAGCCACAATCAAATTAATTTATATAAGCATGATTATAATTTGGATAATAATAATTAAAAATATTGGTATCATTGAAAATGGATAGTCATAAATAAAAAAATAAATCATAAATTGCTAAAAATAATAGTTCCAGTAAGATTTTGCCTTACACCTACATCTTTTTTTCATTCTTATATTATAATAAATGTTTGTTATCAAATATATCAAGGATTGATTTCTCTATCCATGACTAGATTGAATGTCATGATCCTACAGTTCCAGAGGATCCCCATCACCATTAGTCAATAAGGTTTGTAGAAATCACCCCAGGCATACCATCAATGTTTTGTAGCCACCTTTTAATGTAGTGTTAATAAAATGACATTGAGAATAGTTATTTAAAACAATCTTATTAAAATTATTGAACAGGTATGACAAGATCACTTTCTTAATGTCCTAGTGTGAAGAAGATGTAAGCCATTTGTCCAAAGATAATCATATGCCTTATGCCCATACAAATGCAGTGTCAACGCAAATGATTTTTGATCAGAGTCATATGTTCTAATTTTTTTAAACTTTTCCAGAAATTTTTCTGTTAATTTATTTGTTACATTAAATACTTGATGTGTATTTCATATAAAAACTTGATTATGCCAATTTAGTTAACTTGTAAAGCATTAATATAAAATTGACTCTGCTTGTAATGGTGATTGGTATGATGATGATGATGATCCCAGTCCTAAGCAGGGTTTATTATTCACAATGTCATTATGCCCTTTCTAAGTTTTAATAAAATACATGGAATATTGTTGAATGCATTTTATATTTTTTGTATAGATAAGAATGTTGCAATGTACAATGATGGTGTGAATTGCTTCCTTGTGTAACTGATGACATATAAATATAACTAACTTGAAAACATGGGAATGCCTTCTTCAGCATTACCTTCCTTTTTCCATCATAACCCTTATAATCTTTATTACAGAAATGGTCACTGCATATTCTTGCATTTTTTGATGGAAGCCATTTGAAATCATTTATTTCCTGTCTGATGCACTTAATGTCTCAATCCAATCGTTTTACATTTTGAGGAAATCTGAAATTTTATAAACTGTTACAGAAACTTGTGCATTTCTTAAGTATTGCTTTTAATAATAAAATGGTAATCCATGATAGCATTATAAATTATAATAGTCTATAAAATAAAATATATGTAATTGTAAAACAAAATAGTTCTATTCAATGATTTTAGTAGGGATATTGTTACATTTATTTTAGTGTGAAGTTAATTTGAAAATAAACCTGTGAAAAGATGCATCAGAAATTTTCTCATTTCTATTTATTATTAATGCAATTTTTAATGCAACAGGTAGGCATGTTTGTGTATAGCTACGAAAATGAAAATTTACTTAAAAACTAAATTATTGTATCTGACACGAAAATTAGTACAGAAACAAAAACGAAAGAATAAATAACAATATAAAAATTTAAACATTGATTGAAAGAGTTTCTTCTAATTATATGGTATGGGCAATTCGTTGCGAAATCGTTGGAGGAAATGGTGTCAACAGTAGTTATTTTACTGCATGGTAGTTAATCAGCCGGTATAAAGGTTATATTCAATTCCTATCAAATAAATTTGACAAAATGTCATACACAGGCAGAACTAAATAAAGAAATAGATAGATATATACACGTAGTTATAATACATTTATAATGTTGTATTTACACATTCAAATTGTACAATTGTGTTATAGTGTAGTCTCAAATTATTTTGAATTCTCTCAAAAAATTTTAAACGTTTTACTACACTATATATACTAGTTATTTTTATCAACAATTTAAAAATTTTATCAATAATTGAAAAAAAATTCAAATTGATTTCAATGCGATATCGATAATGATTTTTGTGACCTGACTGATTAAAAAGCATCAAAGAAAGTTAAAATAGGATGGAGAATTTGTTATATTGGGATATTCGTTTAAAAAGCGAGCAAAATTTTAATATAAAAGCGCTTATAAATCTATGCATATTGGCTCAGCTTGGCTTGGCTTGGCTTGGAATCGGATGTTAAGCAAGGTGTGGTCTTAAACTATTTTGAATTCTTCCCGAAAATTTTGAACTGCGTGCGTACATATATAGCTATGATTACTGTTGTTTTTATAATGAATTTATAAAATATATAAATATAGCGAGCAAAATTTTAACATAAAAGCGCTTATGCATATTGGCTCAGCTTGGCTTGGCTCGGCTTGGAATCGGATGTTAAGCAAGGTGTGGTCTCAAACTATTTTGAATTACATTAGATTATGTTTATATGAAAAGCAATATAGCAGATTCAACCAGCCAACCAGAAAGTTTCGAAGGCGTTCGTTCGATGACGTCAATTTAGTACGGTTAGCATTGTGGTTAAGACTGTATAATAGTGCAGTATATACATTAAACAAGTTTTTTACTGATGCGAATGATTGAAATGATGAGAATGTATGGTTGAAACGAGTATAAATAGAGGAGCTGAAAAAACGTTGAAATCAGATCAGGCATTTCTGCCTCGCTCGAGTCGGAGTGCCTGATCTCATTTTTTTATATTTATATTTTTTTAATTTATTTATTTTTATTTAATTTTATTTTATATAGAGTTATATAAAGTTATGTAGAGTTATATAGAGTTATATAGAGTTTGCATGTCTGTGTTATATAGAGTTATATAGAGTTATATAGAGTTATATAGAGTTATATAGAGTTATATAGAGTTATATAGAGTTATATAGAGTTATATAGAGTTATATAGATACCTTTCCTTGAGGTTCTTTTCTTTGCCGACCGGTCGGCTTCTTTGCGTTTCTCTATTTTCATTTAAATTAAATAAATAAGATTTGTCCATTCATCTAGGTTCATTCAGGTTCATTCATTCAGGTTATAGCTTCCAGAGGAGTTCGTCGTGGAGGATCAGAATGGTTGTGATGTCACCCTACGTTCAACCTTAACCCTAACTTCCGACTTTACGGTTTCTTAACGGTTTCTTTTTTGCCAGTTTGCTGGCTTTTCCGGCTGGTGGATTTCACCGCGGCTCGTTTCTCTATTTTCATTAGAATTAATTAATAAAATAGGATTTTTTTCATTTCATTCAGGTTGAAGCTTCCAGAGGAGTTCATCATGGAAGATGTCAGGCTACGTTCGTTCATTCAGTGGCAAAGAATACCTGCCTGACTGGGATACGTTTTCTTCTTTTTTTCTGTAATTTAACATTAAGTAGGAATGCTCACACGCACACACACACACATACACAATTACATTAAGTAGCTATATAGGTAGGTTAGATAGG